AATATGGACTCTGAGCTGAATTTTTTTTTTTTTTTTTAACCAGACATTAATCTTATATAATTGATGAACAAACATTAGTTTTGAAAATGAGTATCTTACAAAAGAGGAGCCTGTTCTAATAAGGATTTAGCAGAAGGGTTCGGAAATATTAACATGCAAATAATAAACCCGAACCCTCAACTTGAAATTGTGGGGGGAAAAAAAAAAACGATAACATTTTCCAACCTGCAAGGCTACCCCGCCTACGGCGTGTGATGCGACAGGATTCTCATTAAATGTGATTATCCTTAATTTGTATCACAATGGAGAGATTAATTTGATTGCAATTAACCCTTTTGCCGTGAAATAAACAATTAAGAGCCTGACAGCGGAATTATTTTTCCCCATGAGTGCTTGTTGTTGAATAAATATGTATTTTCGTCTGATTGGTTGTAAAGTGTTGTCATACAACAGTAGGCAACACACACAAAAAAAAAATGTTTTACTGGAAGCTCAATCCAAATCATTATTTGTGTACAACAGTCTACAGAATAATGCAATGTCATTTCTTGACTAATATGAACCCTTTCATGCACCCTGTAACTTGAGAACATGAGAAGCTGTCCACTGACTCAGAAAGGGTCAAATGAAGAAATCTGCTTTTTAGTTTGAACTCATTGTACCAGCGTGCACCAGCACTGATTTTGATTGGGAGGAATGTCGGCGCCATTAGGCTGTCGGTGCTGGACAGCCCCCGGGGCGCTTGTGTTTTTTGCACCTGGAATGGGCAGCATTTTTCACAACCCCGTTTTGTTCAGCGGAGATGGCGGCGCTGTTGGACAGTCTGCGATGGTGAGGCTGTATGGATGGCTTGTGGAGCCGAGGATGAGGAGAGAGGAGGGTCGCCGCGGAGCGTTGATGCGTATTTGAAAATGAGAGTCGCCACTTGGAATTGAAGCGGATTTACATGGGACAGGAGAAGTGAGCCAATCTCTTTTTTTCGTCAGTGGACGCTAAAGCTTCACGTTTACTTTCAAATTTAGCTTGTAGCCGACGTGTGCACATTTTGAGCATGATGTCTCTCACAGGATGTACAGTATTGGATTGTGTATTGTCATTACTTGTTTGTATAATTGACAGCAAAGTGGTCTAGAGATTTGCACAATTGCCTTACAGTCCTGAGGTTTTTGCTTGTGTGCATTTTCAATCTCTGTGTACTCTGGCTTCCGTACCCCATTTCGAAAACGTGCATGTTCGGCTCATTGGCAATGTTGTCCAGAGCTGCGAATGTCTGTTCGTCTAGATGTGCCCTGCGATTGACTGGTACCCCTCTGTTCTCTCCTCGGAGGTTAGCTGAAAATGAGCCCCTTGTTACGCGCGGCCCTCGAGCTTGAAGCGCTATAGAAAATGCACGGATGAAAACAAATAATCCTTACTATGCTTTAATCTTGAAGCAGATGAATAAATAACCAGTCACTCAAGAACTTAAGTGAAACTGGAATTTCTACTTGAACGGGCCTTATGCATTTATGCTGCATAATGAATTATACACTAGCTATCCATGCACTGTGGATATCATGTGAAAGGGCCAGTACAGGCAGCAGGGGCGGTAATAGATCAACCATACTCAAGGGTCAAATACCTCTGCCCGCCCATTTGGGAATGCACGGCAAAGCAATACCCTCCCGGCTAATTAGCATGATCATATTTCTCACGTAGCATGTGGTTTCTGCGACGCAGCCACACGGAACGGACCGATACGGCGTCAACACGTATCACCTGGGTTCACGAATGCAAATGACGGCGCTTTCCATGCAAAGCGAAGGGATAATGCATTCCATCAATTAATGATTCTTTCCCGGAGAACAGCGCGGGCATCCTGCTTGTTAGCGTCTTCGCCAGAACCACGCATCCAATAAAGGCGACTCCAAAGATGATGTGGAAACAAGTCGTTATCTCAGTACAACGCGGCACAGACGAAACATGTTGCTGGAAATACGATTGCTCTCGCAAGTCCGCACGAAGCCATGTGGTTCATCTGAGTCTTTGTGAATAGTTGAAAGGCTATTTCAAATCACATCAAATCAAAATGCCAATCTATACAACGACATTATGAGCGCCGCTCCACTGGTGAAGACGATGATTTACAATAAAAGCAATCAATAAAAATAAAAGAACCATATGTAAAGCCGCCTTAGTGGTACGCAGTTCATGTTTTTTCATGTCTCTTGTATGCATTGCACGCCTTATTTCACCTGTTCACTATTGCACTTAGTTGTTGACAGAATTCGGTATTGCACAAAAACGCAAATGTGTGGCTTTCTGAGACATTAGCAGGGGGAAAAAAAATTGTCAATACGTGAATTTGTATGCTTCAAATAAGTTTTATGTGAGGTCCTGGGTTCATCACCGTTCCGTTTCTATGCCGGCAACATCACCCAAATTTGTAAGTGAAGTCATCAATCTATGGAGTCAATCACTGACCTTTGCAGACAACAGTTGTCAAAATATTTACACTGTCATAAACAAGTCTAAGCCATACATATAAAACAATAAATGAAAAACAGTAACGACGGCGGTAATTGAGGATGCCTACTTTTGCCGCCTCACACTTAAGAAGATGCCCCCACCCCTTCCCCTCCATGTGTAGTGACCCGACCCATATTAAAAAAGCAAGCAAAAAATTTAAGACACATTGTTGTTAGTATGCAACCAAAGATGAACAATCATTTTGAGGATTCGCCATGGAAAATGGAGTGCCATGTCCTGAATTAACTGAACTGCATCATCTGTGCTTCCAGCAGCGGTACAAAACAACAACAGATCAGGCAAATATGTAAAACATATGAATAATTATTAAATTCCTCCTTTTATTTCAAGGGGGTTTATGACTTGGGTCTTTGATTTGGTGCGGTCCGCAGGCAGTTAATCCTCCACCGGTGTTTAGTACACTAATAAAATGGGCGCTCGTGAGAAATTATGTGTCACTTATGCTAATTTTATTGCACTTTGCAAATCAGTTTCATTTTCAAATATCGTTCGCGACACTGCGGGCATTGCATTGCACCGCAACTTCTGTCTGAGTCATTCACTGCACTTGTTATGCAACTCTGTGCGTAATCTTGTTTATTAAGACGGTCCTGCAACAACCGAGTGCCTTGAAGGCTGACTTTTGATGAAGGCAATTTTCAGAGGAGATTTTTAAAAGTATGTACATGTGTTTAAATTACCGCAGGAAGGCCAAGCCAGAGTGATAATTAATAGAGCAAATATATGAAGAAGAATGAGGATTGAAAGCATTACCATAGAAGACACTCCAACATTCCACACATGTGCTCGACACAAACAAATACATCATAATTTCATGCCATCGATCACCTATTCAGGCGAAATGGGACGGAGCCCAGCCAGAAATAGCCAAAAGCCCCAAGTAGTTGGTTTGTAGCAAAGCACTACTTTTGTCTTGTTTTTTTTCATGTTTTAAAAAAATGTACATATAATTCTATGCATTTCAGGGTTTTGGGGAGCCAAACTCTCAAATTTCTTTCACTCGCGTGGTTTTGCCGTGACGTCGTGAGGAGTGTCCCTTATTTCAAGATCTGAAAGGTGGCAACTATAATTATTCACAGGACATCGCCACTGGCTAGCCAGCTCCGATTGTATTTTTACTGTTATTTTTTTTTTAACATATAATAAAGAGCCTCTTTTAGGGCTGGACAATTAATCAAAATGTAATCTAGTTTTAATTTTGGCTTTTCGGGACCATAAAAAACATTATAATTAAAGAATAATGATGAATGTGCCATCAGCACAGCGTGTAACATATTTTCACAAGCATAGGGCGCACTTAAAAGTCTTACGTTTTCTCCAAAATAGTCGGGGCGCCAAATAAGGCGGGTGCGTCTTGTGTATGCACCGAGTTCCAAAATCTGTGAATGCTGTTGTGTGACTCCGATGAGGGGTCCGCTTCTCTGACTGATGTTGTGCTGACACGCCGATTATATAGAGGAAAGGTGGACATTAAAGACAGCACGCGGACGTTAAAGTGGGAAGGGTGGGCGCGAAAGAGGACCCCCCCCAGTAGGTGTATATAAGTGTATATAGTATACGGTACGAGCGAATTCAACATCAACTAATCCATGGTGCTTGGTGCTTTTGTTTTATGAAACGTGCCATCCATCCATCCGGGCAAGGATGATTGTGGCGCGGCAACATCTGGCGGATTACAGTAAAAAGTGTAACATTCTGCGTTACATTAAAAAAAGATGCTTTCTTGGAGATATTAAACCTTCATTCTGCCGCACTACCAGCCTCACTTGGATTTTCCTACGTTGTGAAATTAACATGAATACACCTTGTTGTGATAAATTTGACTCTGTCCTCCCCGAATAAGCTGTTTAATGACACCCCAGTTGGAGTTTACTACAAAACTAAAAACACAAGAAATCATATTCCACACATAATGTATTCAAATACTATCCAAGACATATTTTGTTTTAGAAACATCGCTAGTGCTAATGCTAGTAGTCAATGTAAAATCCCACTGACAGGCTAACCAACAATTAGCATTGCGTTGCGGGAGTGATATTCCTTGAAATAACAAATATTCACAGGCAAACACTGGAAGAACACATACAGACAAGTAATATAGCAATATTTACAAGCATATCGTTTTCGCTCATCTGTGAAAAACAATATATATGAATAAAGATCAATCGCACGCATATCCCACATTACGCTGAAACATTCTTCAAAATAAGGTTGCGTCTGACTGGCTGATGAGAGAATGACATGGAAGGCAGCAGGTGGGAGTGTGGGCTGAGACTCCTCTGCATACTAAACAGCAAACCTGGCTGAAGAGATGCATTTCAAAAGGGACTCCCTCTCTTGTGAGGCTGTTCCTACAACCACTTTCTCTAAGACTCCATCCCAGCATGATGTGAGTCATGAATACGTCAGTACAAGACATCGCGCATACACAAGCACAGGAGAGTGTGTGAGTGTGGTGGTGGGGGACTCACCTTCCGTGGGTGAGGTTTTCAGACGTTTGCACAGTCCCTCAACACCCCCGTAGTCCTCCTGGAGCTTGACCACTGCCTCGGTGCCGCGAAGCTCCATGAGCGAGCGCAGCTCCATGAGCGAGCAGCCGAAGCCCGCGGCATGGTTGGCGCCCTCATTTCTTTGGTTCTTGGCGTAGAAATCGCTGTTGGACATGTCTCCCATGATGCCGGCCGGTCAGTTATTGCTAATAGGGTTCGAATCAGTCTCCAAAGTGGGATTCAAGTAGACAAAAAAAAAAAGTAATAAATGGGAATGCCACTTGTGAAGGTATTAAAAAGGAGGACAAAATCCAATTATTGGAGCATCTGTTTCAGCATCGGAGCAGAAGAAGAGGGGAAAGGAGGATGGAGGGGGGGGCAACGAAGCACAGACTGGGGAGCATCCAGGTGAGCGTCGGACGGCCCCTGTGGTCAGGTCCTGAGAAGGTTGCGAGGTTTGGTCGATGCGGGGGGGCTCAGGCTCACCACGGCTGCAGTCCAGACCCGCTCCATGCGTGGCTTCCCATTGCTGCGGTACGGCTGCCGCCTCTACATGGTGGTACTCCCCATCACTGTTGGAGAGAGAGATGGAGAGGAGGAGGAGTAGGATGAGGTTAGTTCCAAGAAGACAGAACGTGAAGGACAGCGCGGGAGCGGGAGCGTTGCACAGAGGTATAACCACAGCACGCCACTGCGGTAACTCCACCGGTTCTGTGTCGGGGTAGCGGTGCTAATGGAGCTGCTAACCTCATTCTGAGTACAACCAGAGAGAGGGAGAGAGAGAAAGAGAGAGAGCGGCGGGTGCGAGGATGAAGATGAGGAGGAGAAAGAAGAGGATGCTCCTCTCGGATGCGGAGAAAGAGGAGGTGTGTGCGCGGGGGAGAGAGGCCGGGAGCCGCTCTGACGACAAAATGGAAGAGGCGCCACGCAGCGTCGCACTGTCGCCGGGGAGGTTGGGCTGACTAGGAAAAGGGGAGGGGGGGGGGGCGCTTTGGCGTCACACCTTTCATCGGGGCCCATTTCATCAGACGGCGTCACTTGAAGACGACAAGACAAGTGGACGTCCTTTCTTATCATTAAGCATTTAGTCACATATAGTTGTCACTGCTCATAGTGAATTTTGCTGCCGTTTATTTCATTGCAAACTGGTTTTTACAATTAAGTCAGTATAGGTTTGGTGCTACATACAATGCCACTGACTATTCTTGCTGCTGTGCTGTTCACATTCAGCGCTCTGTCTTCTAGCTAATATGAATATGCCATTCTCAATTGCTTATATGGACTAGTTAATGATCGATATGTAGTTTCTTTGCAACATACAATGCTGCTGTTGAAATTCACATATGTGTAGAAAAAAATGGGCGAGTTCCGATATCTGTCTTGTTTTAAGGGGGGGGCGCTTTGGCGTCACACCTTTCATCTCGGGGCCCATTTCATCAGACGGCGTCACTTGAAGACGACAAGACAAGTGGACGTCCTTTCTTATCATTAAGCATTTAGTCACATATAGTTGTCACTGCTCATAGTGAATTTTGCTGCCGTTTATTTCATTGCAAACTGGTTTTTACAATTAAGTCAGTATAGGTTTGGTGCTACATACAATGCCATTGACTATTCTTGCTGCTGTGCTGTTCACATTCAGCGCTCTGTCTAGCTAATATGAATATGCCATTCTCAATTGCTTATATGGACTAGTTAATGATCGATATGTAGTTTCTTTGCAACATACAATGCTGCTGTTGAAATTCACATATGTGTAGAAAAAAATGGGCGAGTTCCGATATCTGTCTTGTTTTAAGGTATCAAGTAGTTATGAAGGGTGCCGATACAAGTCACCAATACCAGTCAATGACACCGTTTTTTTCTGAGTCAATGGCCTCCATGTCAATTCTTTCAAGTGCCACAGTGGACAGCCTATCATGCTGTCGTTATTGGTGCATGAAAGGGTTCAGCAGTCAGTGGAGTCTATTTACCATAGTCATATGTTTTTTGTTTGTTTTTTCTCTTTTTTGCGACATACATTATGGTTTACTAATTTTGTTGCTGTGCATGTCACAGTTCTATATTATTAGTATTTGCCCTCAGCATAATTTATCATTCATTAAAATATATTGTGCCGCTTCCATTCTGCTGGGTCTAATTGCCTGAAAGAATACTCACAAGATATGAAGGATAATCCAAATAATCATCTTGTATTAGCCTCCTTTGTCTTGTATTTTTTATTTTTTTTCTCACTTAGTACTGCCTCATCTTTGTCCCCAAACTTTCCGACTGTACTCGCCAAGTAGACTCGGCTGTACTTTGTGCATGCCAAGGCGGGCATGTGTCGGCCAGATCCTCTAAATGAAAGCAAACAAATGATCTCCCAGGAAAGCGTGTGTGAGAGTGTGAGTGAACGTGCGTGTGCATGTGTGTGCAAGCGTGTATGCATGTGTAGACATAATCAAGCGCCAAGTTGAGGAGTGAAACTACAAAGTACATCATACACCTGCAGAGAAATGACATCATGGACCGGTTGGGGATGAAGCACCTGCAAAAGAGCCACCGTGCCCCCCCGAACTCCACCTTGGGCATTGAACCCAGCTGCTCATCTTTGCAGATGACCAGACAGTAAGGCATAAAACAAACAGAGTTCTCGATGAAAAAGACCATGAAAGATTTAATTTCTCTTGGGGATTGCACAAGAATCCTGCTGATTTTTAAGAAGAAATCTTCTAACATGAGCCAAGATGCCCATCATAATTAAGCTCCAAATGCCTGCTTCTTGTCAGCCCTTTGCCAGTTGCAAGTTTCAACCAATCTCCAATTGTTTTTTAGTTGACACGACAAAAGCCAAATGATTTTGACTAACTTTCACCCGAAATTGCAACCAATCCTCCGATTTGTCCAAAGATTTTCCAAGCGGAATCGAGAACCCCAGTGATTTTGAACTGGCCAAAGATGGCCGACAGAGAGTAGCTAAGGGAAGACTTTTAACACTATGCCAGTCTCTAAATTCAAATTAATCTTCATTTTGAACACGTGCAAAATGTTTTTGATTTCCATGCAACAGCTCGACTGCTTTTGACTGATACGAGAATCAAGAAGGCCAATGTGGCTGAAGTAGGGCGAACACAATTAATCGAATAACCCAATTACAAAAAAATTCAAAAAGCGAGATCTCTGCCCTGAAAACTCGCATGGATCAAAGTGCAATGTGTCCGCTGCAAAGCAAAGCGTATCACAACAGCGCAACTGCAATCGCCAACACAAGGCAACCCATCAATTTTAGCTAATTTATCAAAATTTACTCAACAAACAATAGCAAGAGAAAGAAACAAGTAATACATTCATTCACAAACTGGTTTGCCAACAGCTGACGCCCAGGGGCGCAAGGTGCAGTCTGGCTAACTGGAGCTAACAAAAGCCAACTTGACTGCTGACGCACATATCACTCACCAGGCCAGCTCTGCTTTTTAAAGCCACATTCAAAGTTGCAGAAACCACAAGGTAGAACGTGGAGATGGTTTCGCCAAGTGGACAAAAAGAATACCCACACCACACAAGCACTTCAAAAAATTTGTGTTGCTGTTTAATAAAGCAAAATCTAGATGGACAACAAAGAAAGGACAGGGACAGGTGGCAAGAACAGGATGATCAGAAGAAAGGAAACGATAGGATGATAGGATAATAACACATCATTTCGACACAACTCAGTCCACAATTACATCCATCCATTTTCTAAACCGATTGTCCTCATGAGGGTCGCGGGCGTGCGTGCTGGAGCCTATCCCAGCTGTTTTCGGGTAGTAGGCGAGGTACACCCTGAACTGGTTGCCAGCCACTCGCAGGGCACACATGGACGAACAAACATCCGCGCTCACACTCACACCTAAGGACAATTTAGAGTCTTCCATAAACCCGCCATGCATGTTTTTAGAATGTGGATGGAGACCAGAGTACTCGGAGAAAACCCACGCAGGCACGGGGCGAACATGCAAACTCCACACAGGAAGGCCAGAGCCAGAAATGAATCCTGCACCTCTGCCCTGTGAGGTGGCGGACGTGCTAAACAGTCAACCACCGTGCCGCCCCATAATTGCATTTGCCTCTTAAATATGTGAATATATACTGTATATAAAGTACAGCACCCTCTTGTGAGACTCCATGGTCCTTCCATTAGCATCCCCCCATCCCTCCGTCCCTCCCATCTCCCACTGTGTCCGTGTCTCCTCTCATGTCTCCTTTCACTCACTTTTGGCTCTCATGACCTGACAGTGACTAATGACTAACACGAGCCCGCGCTGCAGGACCAAATGCAGACTGTGTGAATCCTCTAATTAAAAGCTTTTTTTTTTTAAGATATTTTTTTTTTCCAAAGTGAAAGTGCACCTAATTGGCCTTTATGAACGTGGACGGCATATGGTATGCGAGCTTTATTTTTGACCAGATGCCTTAACCACCAGATCGTACAACAATAACATATGCGCATGACGGCTATATGGCAATAAGCATTCACTTCGAGTCCAAGCGTTAACCATGGAAACATGCTCTTACATTGAACTGACACTCTTTCTCAAAATGTCCTTGAGCACAGTACTGAGATTTGAGCTGTGCTCACTGCAGCAGCAGCAGCAGCACCAGCGGCAGCAGCAGCAGAGGCAGGAGCAGGAGCACTGGCACACAGCGCCCCCTTCCTCTGAGGAAAAGCAGTGCAAAAGAATCCCCTGAGGGATGATTGACTCACAGGCCACCACTGCATCAGGTAAGGTCACCGAAATATTATTATGGCCTCTCCGTATGATGCAGTGAAGCGGAGCGCAGCACTCCAAACTACAATCACAGAACTAAACAGACGTTCATTCATACTGTTAATAATATCACAAATAGTCTCCCATAAAACCATCAGCAACAATGGGGACGAAGAAATAAAATATTGTCATTCAGTACTGCATCAGACTTCAAATATTAGGAGTGAGTTGTTCAGGGATAGAATCAAATATGGATAATATGCATCAACAGTTGGGTTGGTAATTAATTCAATGATTGGTTTACTCACTACTGAAATAAAAATATTTCACAAAAATTGTCTTATTTACTCACTGTATAAAAACACTTCGATTAGCAATTAAATGTGTTCATGTAATTATTAACTAAATAAAAACCAAATCAAGATCTTTAAATGCTGTATGATAATATATTGTTAATATTATGGTTACTACTTTTACACGGTGAAAGTGCTGGAGTCCGACTCATGTTGAGTAATTTATTGCCAATTATGAGTATAATACGCATTTAAATATAGTACTGTAATACAGGACTCATACACTGTGAAATAACACAAATATACCCACGTGAACATTTTTAAAATCATATCAAAACATATAAAAACTCAAATGATCGTCACAAACAAGCTTCAGCAAGCCGTATGGACCACATTGAAACATAAAATGTCCCACAAATCATGTTACTGACCAACTATAGCTGTCTCACCGCATCCACAAACAGTGCTCACACGATACGTGCCACCATGTTCGCACCAAAGTGAACATGGGCAATTAAGATAAGATAAGATAAGATAAGAGAACCTTTATTAGTCTCGCAATGGAGAAATTCCCAATTCACAATTGCGGACACAATCACTTTCTCATTTTTTATGATCAGAGATGATGACCGATGATGGCTAGCCAGGACCAAAGAGTCCGTAAAAGACAAAGAATGTCCAAAGTTTGGGATCATTTCACACTAAACAGTGAAGCCCAGTCAAACAAGAAGAAAACCAAAGGGAGGAGGGTTGTTGATGACAAGGTTTGACTGAAAAATAGGACATCGGGCATCAGGCCTAGAAAGGAGGATTGGAAATAGAAAAGGATGTTAGTCTATCTTTGAATTCAGCTGTCTCGAGGGAGATAAGGTGGAATGGGGGGGGGGGGGGGCCTGGCGAGT